GAGCTCACGTCGCCAGCTTCCGGCGTCAGGAGCGTCTGCCCCGCGCCGCTGTCGTGGCGTTCTGGAAGCGTGGAGGACTGGTCGCTCTATGGTGCGCAGTCCGGCCTGGTGGCGGGCTCCCTTGCTGCCTGGTGGCGGCGCCCAGCTGGGGCGGGAGCCTCCTGCTTCCTGCGGGGCACCAGAGCCTCTTGCAAAGCCTAAATCATGATCCCTGCTGCTTCCCCCGGCCCTTTGCAAGGGGCAGGGAATCCCCTGGCAGTGGCGGCCTTGCCAGATCCACACTCTGGGGCAGGAGCCGGAGCCTAATTCCCACCACTTCTAAGTCACCCGTGAAGGGCTAGACCCCTTGGGGCTGCTCCTGAGCGTGGTGATAAAGCCACGGACACTTGCCACATTGTTCTCTGGGGCTTCTCACCGCCCAGTTCCTGAGTCAAGGCACAGAGCTGAGATCACTCCCTCCCACCCCCCACCAGCGCAGTATAGATGCAGCCAGGGCCGGCCTTAGGCCCATGTTCCGATTCCCCCAAATCATATTCATATTCAGCTTGTGATCCACTATGACCCCTAGATCCCTTTCTGCCATACTCCTTCCCAGACAGTTGTTTCCCATTCTGTATGTATGAAACTGATTGTTCCTTCCTAAGTGGAGCACTTTGCATTTCTCTTTATTAAACCTCATCCTGTTTACCTCTGACCATTTCTCCAATTTGTCCAGATCATTTTGAATGATGACCCTATCCTCCAGACCCTCTCCTCCAGACCCTATCCTCCCAGCTTGGTATCATCTGCAAACTTAATAAGCGTACTTTCTATGCCAATATCTAAATTGTTGATAAAGATATTCCACAGAGCCGGTCCCAAAACAGACCCCTGCGGAACTCCACTTGTTATACCTTTCCAGCAGGATTGTGAACCATTAATAACTACTCTCTGAGTACTATTATCCAGCCAGTTATACACCCACCTTATAGTAGCCCCATCTAAGTTGTGTTTGCCTAGTTTATTGATAAGACTATAATGCGAGACCGAATCAAATGCCTTACTAAAGTCTAAGTACAGGCAGTCCCCGACTTACGCGGATCGACCTCCGGGGCGAGAAAAGCTGCTCCCGGTGACCCTGGTCTGCTGGGGACCGTCTCCAGCAGACCAGGGGCACTGGGAGCAAAGCCGCAGCAGCTTTGCTCCCGTGT